GACTTGTCCAAAGCAGTCACTGCAGAGTTGGTAACGACTGAGCGCAGATTAAAAAAAAAAAAAATCAACAACATACTGATGATACAGGTAGTCCTTGCTTAATGTCCATTCGTTTAGCGACCATTCAATGTTACAATGGCACCAAATGAATGGACTTACGACCAGTCCTTGAAGTTCTGGCCGTAGCAGTGCCCCTGCAGTCACGTGAACAAAATTCGGGCCCGCCTGCATTTATGACCACCCCCCCTTCTATCACTGCACCCATCCCAGCTGACTTTCATTGTCATCTTCACCTGCCTCCCCTCCACTGGGCTCACCATCCCGGCCACGTGTGGGGGATGCACCATGGGAACATCCCATAGGCCGGTGGGTGAGAGCTATGGGTGGGGGGGGGTGTCACAGGTGGGCTTGAGGGAGAACAGGCAGGTATGTGCTGCGCTATGCACCACATACCACTACCGGCTGGGGGTTTCTTTCATGTTGCCTTCTTTCGGGTGCCAGATGGTGCTTCTTTCGCACACCAGCAGGGGCTTCTTTTGTGCACTGTCCAGGTTCTTCTTTTGTGTGCCAGCTGCGTTTTTCTTTTGTACTGGCACAGCCAGGGCCTTCTTTCACGAAAGAAGGTCCCGGCCAGAGCACGAAAGGAGGCCCAGCAGGCACGTGAAAGAAGGCTGGCACAAAAGAAGGTCCCAGTTGCACCAGCACGAAAGAAGGCCCCAGCTGGTGCATGAAAGAAGGCCAGTGTGAAAGAAGTCTGTGGCCAGTAGTGACGCACCATGCAGCAGGCAGGGCAGGGCCAGGCAGGCAGCCAAAAGGGCAGAGATGGGGGCGGGGAGATAGGTAGGTGGGGGGAATAGAAGTGGAGGCAGTCCCTTACCTTCTTCCAAGAATAGCTTGGATCTGGGTGGTCCTTGCCTAACGACCACGTGGGATTTGCTCAATGACAGCAATTGGGACTGCCAGAACTGCCGTCGCTAAGCAGGGCAGTGACGTTATGTTTCATTTAATGACCGCATCACTTAGCAATGGAGTTACCACTCTCAATTAGGACTGTTAAGTGAGGATGTACTTAACCTATACTCACCCTGAGTGGTTGGATGACCTCACACAAAAGCTTCATATAGATTTGAACAAGAGTGGGGAGACTGTCAAATCTTAAGGCACCACACATAAAAGAGGCCATGGGTTAGATCTCTCCCTGTCCCCATCAACACTGACTGGAGGAATGAAGAGAACCAGTACTTTACCCCCCACTCCCAACCCCTGAAGCCAATCCAGAAGTATACCATGATCAGTGGTATGGAAGGTCACTGAGAGATTGAGAGCCAAGATAGATGCACCATCTCCATCCCATTCCCACTAGTGGTCATCCACAAGCACAATCAATGCTGTGTGGGTCCCATGTCCAGGTGTGAAATCCAACTGAAAGGGGTCCTGATAATCTGCTTCCTCCAATATTCTCTGAAGCTGTAGCACAACCACCTTTTCAATCATCTTCCCTAAAAAGGGGAGGTTGGAGACAAGATGAAAATTGTCCAGTATGATTGGGCCGATGATGGAGAGGGCGAACCGCTGCCTCCTTAAGCATCAGCAGGAGTACCCCCTCTCTCAATGACAAATTCA